AACCTTCACCAAATCCGCAGTGCAAAGCAGGAAAGCCAAGAGCAGCAGAGCACATGGCTAACACCCAGGCAGGCTCCGTTTGGAAATCAGAAGCTTAAGGCTTAACTACATACTAGGAGCTACATCGTGCTGGTATGGTCAAGGTGCACTGCCTGCTACAAGGCAGTAGTTTATGATACCATCATCCATTTGGCTCTCTTCAGCTCTTATTCCCCCAGCCTGAATGATCCAGAGTCTAACGAAACTCTTAGGAAACAACAAAAAAAATTCCAGAATCTTGATCTCAGGCTTCTTAATGTTGGTGTTGAACTACTTTAACCCTTCTGCTGCCAAACCATACAACGGTTAAAATCTGCTGGTTTAAAATTGAACCACTTGACAGAAGCCAGGCTGGACTTCTAAACCATTAAGCAAACACTTTTCCACTTCAAATAGGAGGCAGCTTGAAGCCAGGGTGTTCGTTCTGTCTTTGGTGTGCCCTGGCTCGCACACAGCTGGCCCCACATGCTGTATTTTACCTTGAGGAGGCAAAATGCTCACCGGTGACAGCGTGGGCTCACTGGGCTGGGACAAGTGAGTGCACGCTGCCCCTCCACCACAGGGAAAAGGCTGGTGGGCAAAGCCCAAGCCAGCAAGCTTCCCACCAGGTCCGTGATCGACAGCCCGAGCAGCCCCATCAGGAGCCTCGTGCGGAGCTGCGAGTGGCAAACACGCGAGCCCGGGGCGGTAGGTGAGCCAAGCGCTGCTTGCCCTGTAAAGCCCAGCTGTTAAACCGATGGCTAGGACCATTACAAAATTACTTTTCCCTCTACAAGTCTGAGGTTTGACATTGCTCACACACAGTGAGCAGAGGCAAGGGATACTGCTGCCATGGTTTGTCACATTAAAAAGTAAATACAGCCAATTTCTCTCACAAATACTCTTCCCAGCGGCAGGCTTCGACACTTGCAAGCAGCTTTGCTCCATTTCCTTCTGTGAAGAGCATACCAGCAGTTTCAAAGCACCAGCTTTGGAAACACAGACAGCTATTATGAGGCTTTGGTTAAATTAATTAATTGCCTGAAAAAAGCTCCTTACACCACTTGTCTGAGGATTGCAAAGTGCCATGTTTGTTACCAGCGTTTCAGTGATTCCACAGGAGACATTCAAACTCCCAGGCAGAAACACATTTATGCTCACTCATCACTGCCATGAACACACATCGGATATAAACCTACCATATGACACAGTACAATCTAGTTCTGTTTTGCAAGAGCTAAAAAGCCTTCCCAAGTAAAAACTTTTTTATTTTTTAGGTTAGAATCTCTTTCATTAGTTTTTTGTTATATCTCTTAAAGACAAAGCCCCCCTACTTTTCACATTGTAGTGAAAGACCTGCAAAGAACTAACAAAAAGGCAAACGTTATTCTAGAAGTACGTCTCCAAGCCTCACATACATAAAAATTCTGTCAGTGAAGGATGAAGCACAAGAATATTGTTTGGCACGTGTTACCTGCTGCATCTTGAGGAGTGTGGACAGTAGGTCGAGGGAGGTTCTCCTTCCCCTCTACTCTGCCCCAGTGAGGCCGCATCTGGAGTACTCTGTCCAGTTCTGGGCTCCCCAGTTCAAGAAAGATGAAGAGCTACTGGAGAGAGCCAAGCCGAGGGCTACAAGGATGACGAGGGGACTGGAGCATCTCCCCTACGAGGAAAGGCTGAGGGAGCTGGGCTTGTTCAGCCTGGAGAAGAGAAGGCTGAGAGGGGACACCTTAGAAATGCTTATAAATATGTGAAGGGTGGGTGCCAGGAGGATGGGGCCAGACTCTTTACAGTGGTGTCCAGTGACAGGACAACGGGCAACGGGCACAAACTGAAGCAGAGGAAGTTCCAGCTGAACATGAGGATGAAATTCTTCACCTTGAGGGTGACGGAGCCCTGGAACAGGCTGCCCAGGGAGGTTGTGGAGTTTTCTTCTCTGGAGCTGGGCGGCCTGCTGTAGGTGCCCCTGCTTCGGCAGGGGGTTGGACCAGATGACCCAGAGAGGTCCCTTCCAACCCCTACCATTCTGTGACTCTGTGATCTTCCGCCACGGAGCATTGGTCCAGATCTGCAACACTATCTGGGAAAATAACAGCGCTTGCGTTCAAGGTAGCAGGGAGCTTAGGAGGCTCTGTCAGCAATAACAGAAGCTGTATTATTACATAATAGAAGAAGTCTTCCTCAGAGTGAAAACTTGCTATTTCTGTACCAAAAGGCTGTTCAAACCATGCCATGGCCAAGCAGCTCTTAGTCAGCTCCCTAAGAGCTGGAGGTGCTCCTGGGCCACAGTCCCCAGCACAGAGTACCAGCCGCCGCGCACACTACGCCGACATTCCCCCACTTCATTGTCCAGCTGAGGATAGCTGACATTCACATTGATGACACTCCACCAATTAGTATTTTTCCTTTTTTTAATAATAAAAAGCCTATCCTCCAACCCAACCCTACAAGAAGTACTACATTACATTCTGATCCACAGTATGACAAGGGGGTGGACAGAGTATTTTTTACTGCAACTTCTCAGCCGAGTGAATACAAGAGAGCAGATCACTATTCCAAGCTATTTAATAAGAAGAAATTACAGATTGAAAGTCCTCCGGGCACATGAAGTTCAGCTAATGCACAGCTCTAGAATGGGTCACTTCTTACAAACAGTATTACATTTTTCGCTTTAGCGTGGACATGGTGGACTAACACAAACCACAAAATACTGAATCAGATGCAACAGCTAATGCTAAAACCCACAACAATAAAAAGTATGGCACAAAGAATACTAAACGGTGTGTAATTAGTATTTACTTTTTGGCTATCCTGGTTTGGACTAATTCAGATCAGAGATCCATTCCCAGTCAGCACCAGGTTCAGTCAACACACGTTTTGTGCAAAGTACACTTTTAAATTCATGAAATAATTACATGTGTAAACATATGTTCCTTTCACAGTAAAACAAGAGTGATTTGGGTATCAGAATCAAACAAGAGGACCCCAGACAGTATTTTATTTCACAGTACATAGTGTATGTATATATAATCACCATATTCAGCAAGTAGGTAAAGTGCATGCCAGTAGCAACTTGGACTGTAAATGAAGAACTCGCAGTGCAGAAGTACACTTTACTCCAATGCTAACAGACCTGCATGAAGTAATACAAAACAAGGTAGAGTAAGATCTTGCAAACAACATACTCTACATGGTTTACTGTACCTTTCTTTAAAAGACAGGCTGAATTACTCCGAAACAGGAAAATTTCACACCGACTATCAGTGGATTAAACAGTTCAAAGCTTAACTAGTTAAAAATATTGCACCAGAAGTGTTGTATTTGAAAGCAATACAAGAAGAAATTTTTAATATAAAAACACTTTAAAAAAAAAGACATATTACAACAGCTACTTTGAACTAAAATAGCTGGTAAACCTTAGGAACTGATGAAATGTGAGCACTCTGCTACAAGCAATAGATATATGGATTACCTGGAATCTCACCTACATAGTACCAAGTTAGGAGGGGAAAAGGTCTCCACCGTCCTGTAGTCTCGATGAAGCCAACCATAAACTCAACAAAACCCATTAAGACAACAATTGACAGTATTCCCTTTTATTTTAGAAAAACGGGTCTTGAAGTAGTCTTGAAATGCTTCACCACCAGCTAGTGCAAATAAACAAAAGCCACAGGACAGATGGATGTACCACGACTACCAAATGTCTGCAGCTCCGACCATAGGCCCCTCAGCCTGGGAATCTGGGGTAGACACACACAAACCACACGATGCTCCACACAACTCATGAAGTTCACGTTTAAAGAGCTGGAGACAAACAGTAGGGAGATGCTTAGAAAATCAATGACAGTGAAGCAAAGGGACAAGAGACATTCCACTAACATCCACCAGAGATGTGGCAGCCCAGATTCAACGTGGTATTTAGGGACCACACTAAGTGAACGCTATGTTCATGATGCTCTGAGGACACTGCATCCCATCTCAGACTATTACCAAAAATAGAAATCCACTGTGCAAGTGCAGGATACAAACAGCGAACTCCAAGAACTGGATAAATTCACCCATGTACAAAATCACTTTCTCCACTCCATAATCAATTCCTTCACTATGTGTGCAGTTCAAAGGGGAAAAGTAAAGCCCACAAAAATGTGCAGATGATTGTCGAAGATCAGCAGTCCCTTTCTGGAAAGCAGGAGCATGTACTTAATTTCAACACTTACTTCTTCAAAGTGACTTCAGTAAGCAAAACATTTACCGAATGGCAAAAAAATCTGCTCAATAAGTAGATGTCCCTACTGATACATGCACATTAACTAACCTTCTTCTCTTGACTTCCCAGGACATGGCAACAGACAGCTGTGGCCACTAAGACTTCATTACTCTTATAAAATCTCAGGGTACATTAAAAGCATGATTGAAACCTATTAAAACTATTTGCTCAGGGAACACAAGGTTTTATCACCATCGTTTGCTCACCTCAACTTACAAAACAAAAGCCTCAATGACTTGCAGTTGGACATCTGGCCCTTAGTTCAGCTATTCACTATTTTAAAGAAAGACCTTGAGAGAGAATTAATAGGCTGTAATCATCTAAAGTAGTCTCATATGCAGTTCATTTCTCCTTCACTTCTTCATTGCAGTAAAAAAACCCCAAACTTTCAAAAGCAGCAACATAAAAAAGCACGTAAAAGTTGATTCAGATTATATCACATCCCTTCATATTTACAGATTTTCTGTAGTAAAGAATCCACTATCATGGTTTCACCGCAATTAAGCCTTGGCCTTTTTAATCCTAAAGCAGCCTTCGAACACCATTCAAGTCTGGAAACATTTTCAAAACCCTCAGAAAGTCAACAACAGCAGCATCGTCTTCCAGACAATATTGCAAACACCTCCCATGCAATCAAAGTGTCTATTCAAGAAACAGCCTTGAAAAAGACAGTTCCCCGATCCTCCTCTTCCTCTCGATACCATCCCCACTGGCGCTACGTTAGTTTCTTTATTCTGCGGTTCTGCTTGTCAATATTCAGCGTCGCGCGGTCTACAGAGGTAGTGATGGAATCGAGAGCTTCGTCCTGTCTCTCCAGCTCGGCTTCCGTCTCCAAGGCAAGGCCCTTCAGTTTCTTTAGTATCTGTCGGAAGAAAAGACTGAGAGCTTTCAGTGATCGACCAGTGGGTTCTTTGAGAAATGTAATAGACCCATGGCAATTAGTTATTTCATAGCTTTAAATGACCAAATCACTTGCTGCAGTCTGCCCGGAAGTGGGCTGGTGAAGACACAGCTCTTGCTCCGATGAGCTGCACTGAGATGAACTAAACAATGAACTAAAGACCCCAAAAATCGTATCTGAAACACTACGGTTATTGGGGAGGGGAGAATAAATCAGAAGTAAAAATCAGCATAAACATCAGCTTTTTGCTGGCTCTGTCATCTCCTTGGCATGCCTGCTTCTTAGAGCAGTAGCTTGTCACAAGATGTTGCGCACATTGAGAGTCACTGCAGACAGACAGCACAGCTGGTGCAAAGCCAGAAGGGAATCATAGAATGGTTTGGGTTGGAAGGGACCTTAAAGATCATCTGGTTCCAACCCCCCTGCCATCAGCAGGGACATCTTCCACCAGACCAGGCTGCTCAGAGCTCCATGCAACCTGGCCTTGAGCCCTGCCAGGGAGGGGGCAGCTACAGCTTCTCTGGGCAACTGGG